AGTCTTAGAAACAGTTTAATAAATTACTTGAGATCTGGTAGGAAAAGTCTGTTTCTTACTACACCAAGAAATCCAGAAAATTTTGAGAGATGTGTCCTTAACAGAGGGATCTGTATTAAGGACTTTAAAGAATTGATTGCAGGAGTCATTGCTGACATAGTCTGACATTAGCTGTAAAAAAAAAAAATGGGAACTGAGAATCAAGATTTGAGATTATAGAATGGCAGAGCTCTCCAGAAACTATTCATACATTCTTTGTAAATTCTCATGGCATGAATTTTAACAAATATTTTATATATATATATATGACAATTTGTATCAAAAGTGCTTCTCTGCTACCAGTTTTGCCCCAAGCTATTGACTCATAGTTATGGGTTGATTTCCAGAGATGCTGAGAACATGCAGTGTTCCAGCAAAGTTCAGGAAAGCAATAGGGATCAGTATTTCTCAAATACAAATTGCTTACTAATAAGCTGTTGCCAAGGAAATCCTTCCTGTGCATTTGGGCAATGAAAATATACAATGCATTCTCTACACAGTTCTTCCAAACAGTCACTATATGGTAAAGGGTATAGAAAGACAAATGAGAGAGGAAATTCCTGGACTACTCAAATTTTCATGGAGGAATTTGAAGCTAAGCATGGAAAACAAGCAGGCAAGAGACTCCAAAGAGAAAATTATATGAAAATTTTCAACATATGAAAAACATGATACATGACTGCAGTTACTTTTTGTGCAATATGTACTTTTTAGCATTACTGTGGGTTGGGGAGAGAAGAGGGAAATGAGCCAGCTGAAATGGCTCATGTTCAGAACAGAGCAGAAGAGATAAAACATGGAGAGGCCTCTGTCAATTTATTTTTAAAGTATCTCACACTTTAAAAGGGAGCAATTAATTAAGACTTACCCCAACCCCCATGATTGCTCTAATTTCCTAGGAGATTGCCTTTGTAATACTTTGTAGTGACTTTATTTGGGAGGCTACTAACATATTTTGAAAATATGTTACAATTTCAAAACTTGTCTTTCTTCACAGCAACAGAATTTAAGAATTTGCTTTGAAGATAGAGAAAAACGGTCTCATTTAGCATCACTTAAAGATCACATGGTCAAGTGCCCTTAAACTTATGTTGCATTATCAGTTATCTACTGTGTTCTCCATAACTCACCAACATTCTGCAGTCCTCCTCCATTTTTAACTCATTTGAGAGAAATGCACACAAAAAAATTTACAATGCTCAAACATCCTGTTGCAACTATGTAGACACAGTTGACTTTTTGTCTTCTAGTATGTCCAAACATCCTTAAGACTATAACTGATATGTAAAAGATACTTTTGGGTGCCCTCTGATAGTAGGGTACTATCAGCAAAAGTTCACTAGAGAAAATGAATAAAAGTTACTAATTCTTCTTATTTTATGTCTGAAATTCTTACAATCCTCTTACATTTTCACAAATATGTTAAATTAAGCCTAAAGAATTGAAAAAAAGACAAATTGCCATTTTGTTGTGAATGGAATTTTTCCCTAACATTTCATATTTTCTACTTATTCAAAAAAGAGGACAGTAATGGACTAAATGCCTCAAATTTGCAACAGCTGTGAGTCACTAAACCTCCAAGAGAACCTGACATGTTCCATTAGAACTGAGACCAAATGCACATGGAATAACAACATCATATGTGGCATTATATTTCCCCTTTCTGGGATGCAATTGTCTTAACTAGCTCCTCTATTTAACTAATCCGTAATGACATGACCTGTTTATAATATGCCAGGAAAAAAAGAATCCATCAGTTACAAAATTGTATCTGTAACAAAAGAGAAGATGATTCCAAGCCGATCACATGCTCAGCCACTAGCTGTGCCTATTTCAAGAGCCAGTTTTTCTGAATTGAGATCCAATTCTGTTTGTCACAAAACTTAAACACAATTCAGGAACATGACTTAACTCACAGGAAAAAGCAAAGTTATTTGAACTACTCTAGCCTTAATAATAGTAGTTGTTATCATTATTACTTATTTTCACTACCATAATCACTCTAAAACCAATGGGATTCTACAAAGAACAACATGTCCTGCCTGGGTGGACTCCAAGACATATGGCAGTAAAACAGGACTTCCACAGATGGAACTTAAGGACCTGCCTTGGTAAAAATTATTTGCAATTTGAGGAATCTCTCTTGACAACACTTAAAGCATGATTTTCAAGAAAAAGTAGGAAGATTTTCAGCACTTTAAGAAAATTGACTGTTTCTCAGCTAGCTCAGAATGATCATAGTCAATATTTTGGAAATTACAATCAAAAGGCTATTTTCCATTTCGACATAAAATAACTTAATCCAAGCCCTCTTTTTGCCACCACGACGTAGCAGTGCACTACAGCTTTATTATCAGAGTGCGTCTGTGGTTTTGTGACATATTGGAAGATTCTGTTTGTAGATCTTTTTCAGTTATACTTTCCACAGAAAAATATTTTTTTAAGGCAAATAATTGCTATTACAAGCCCATATAGATCAAATTATATTTTAGAGAAGATATTAACATGTTATACAAATATGTAAGGATTATTTTTTTCTTAGTTAGTTCTGGCAATAAACTAACACACAGTATCTCAATCTCATTTAATTTCTTGTTTAAGATAAATTATTTTCCTGGCAGTATGCTACATTCTGGACAGTAGTTCAGTTATGGATGAGTAAAGATGAATGGTTAGGATTAATTTTTAAATTAAAATAAAATTCTAGAGTATTTCCAATGACTAGTTAAAATAGGTTAATGGCAAAGAAATTTATTTGCCTTGTTAGTAATTTTGATCAAGTAAGATTACAGAGGGAGTTTGCTTTTTGCTGGTCTTGAGAGACTTCTAATGCCTGCCACTAAAAATTGCCACAGTCAATAATTTTAGAGGGCACAGTTTTAAGCTCGTTCAAGACAAGTCCATGAAATTGGTAGCACTACACAACACCATAATGCATGACAAGTATGAAATGCATTTGCATATCTTTAAGAACATAAATTCTATGTACTATATTTTCCAGGAAATAACAATTACCATGAAAATCTGCAGAACGTGCAAACCTACTTTAGATTTATTTTGGTTCCTTAAACATTTTGATTAAATATATTGATTTTCCTGCATTCCTCTGATCACCATTGTTTACAAGGGAAATCCTAATTTCTGGGATTTGGATGACGCTAACCTAATAAGAACATTATTGAAAAGGTGCCTTAAAAGTTTATTTTCCTGCAAATGCCCCAGCATTATCCAGCTCTGGTGACACACAGTGCCTTTTGGTAGCTCCAGTACAATGCTGTGGCCCTGCTGCACGGGGAGGCTGTGGGTCTGTTTCATACAGCATCGCACTTCTGGCTCATGACATTGAAGGAGCAATGTGATAGCAAGATTGGAGGGTTTGCTTCCCCTTCCTTGTCCCCTCTGCCACCAAAGAGCTTACCTCAGCAACTGAAACATATTTAAATCTCAAAAGCTCTGAAATGAATAAATTTACTGTTCAACAAAAGCACCTCCCTGCATGATGAAGACGCTGATTCCAAGTTTAATTCTGTATTCCTGGCATGCAAACCTGGACACATTATACAAGATTTCTACTTACTAAGGTTTATAATTCATTGACCAATCCACTGATCAGGTATGACAGGAAAGTTAGTATCTCCTACTTTAGAATAGAGGACAGTAATATAAACTTTCTCAGCCTGATCTTAAATTCAGACATGGTAAGCATGTAATTATGTATTAAAACCACCCCAGTAACGTGATACATTAGAGCTGAAGAACTCAATGTCTCTTAAACCAGTTAATTACTTGCTGATCTTTAACATATTAGGGGACTTTAATGAAGTAATAAATGGTAAATCAATCATTTTTCCTTCAGTGACTATTTTCCTCATACAGAGTGGCTAAGCACACACATATGGTAACAATCCCTCTTCCTTGGGAGCTCTCAGTAACTATTTACTGGACATCTTCAAATATCAGTGAAAAATTGAACACTTTTCTACTCCAATAGGATGAGGAAACTGTCACATTTTCAAACTATACCTTGGACACATGCAGCTCTGCTGAGAGTTTCGGCTTAAAATTACTTTATTTGGCAATGTATTTGAAATTAAACTGAGCCTGCTCTAAAAAGGAAGGAAGAACTTATTGGAACCATCCATCCTGAAGTCTTTGGCTCCCAAGGGCAGAGAATCCAAATTACAAGTGAACACTCACCTACATTTCTGAAAAGCTGTAAAAACAAGATATTCATGGTCTGAAGTTTTGAGAACATAACCTATCATGTACATGCTCAGTTACCTGGTCTTCAGATGAGCTCAGTACTTACAGTTTGGATTAGAATAAACAGGAGGCTGCTCATAGATACACTTCCTTTAAAAATTAGGTCACTATTTGAGTACAGAAGAACCAAAGTTTGCTATAATTTTTAATAATATATTTTCCTAATACATTGCTCCCAAGTCACAGGCAAATAAAAAATAAACTGTATTTTCCAATACAGTTCATATTAGAACTATATTAGTTTTCATTATCAGTAATTTTCCACATGGTGTATATTGGAGATAAGAGTTTTAAACTAGGCAAATCTTTGGTTCTCAATCTCATAATAAGGATGGCACAACCATCAATAAAGTCTCCTCTGCTTCACTGAGATTCTCTCATTGTAAATAATTACACTTGCTGGAGCAAACAGAGAATATAAATAGTAAGGTAGGTTTTGATGACTCTTGACTTTTGGGGCTTGGGCTCTTTTCTTTTTTCCTCAGATACACTCCAAAATATGACTTTGATAAGCTTCTGACAAACTTTGAAAAAGGTAGCAACATTTTCATTTCAATATCAGTAGCTCTTGCACAGGAATTACATGACATATAATTATGTTTTAAACAGTGGGATGGTGAAACAAGACAGATTGCTGTGACACATTCATTAAAAAATGCATAATTTCCAAAAGAAATAGGAAGTATTTCTACACTGACCATAGTCTGTGTTTTCCGGCTCCCAACAATTTGATGGCCAAAAATAGGGTGTCTATAGGCAAAAAAAAAGAAGTAGGAAACTCAAGTTAGACAATACAAGCATTATACAGTCCTTGAATTGTTACTGGTTTTCAGAATAATTTTATATTTTTGGTAGATCTATTAAACTGTTAACTTGACATTTTTAAAATTGGCATCAGAACAGAAAATTACATTTGTACACCTGTTTATCACGCTAGACATTGAAAAAGAAAAAAAAAGTGGGGTTTTTGTTCTCAAAGTTAAGGTAACAAAATCCACAAGGCTAGATAATGGAGTTGTCTTTTACATTTTCCCTAGAAATACATCTCTCACATGTCCTGGAGAATCAGCTTTAGAGGTATAAAGACAGAAGGCGCTTTGAAGTTCATTCAGTTCTTGATTTTTGAGAGTTTTCATTCACAGATTAATATTCAATTATCTTTCCCAGGTGTTATTTGTTTAAAAGTGCCTCTAAAAACATCCTGTTTTCCCAAAGACATCAACATAATTGTTTACTGGTTGTGATTTGAAATGTGGAGTTTTTTTAAGGGAAAGACAAAGTATCAAAAACTACTTCAACACTATACTTATTAAGACTGTGCTACATGTATTGTTCAAAGAATTCACTTCAAACAAATGGAGAATATAAGACTGTATATATATTTTCATACAAATGACTTCATTTTTTAAATCACAACTTTTGGTTAAAATGGAAATTATTATAGCATTTTTATAGAGCACATAATCCCCATACAGGCCATTCACTTAAGAGTCAGACTCAATGATTCCTGTGGGTCCCTTCAAATTCAGAATATTCTGTGACTGAGTCACGGATCTATACATAAACATATACACACAGCTACAGAGAATTACATAATATTTGAGTAGTTGAATGCAACTCATTAAATGTGTGAAGTGGTTTGAGTAGTATTTCAAAACACAGGTGGTCCTTCAGGAAAACCTTCTGCTTTACTCTCTATTTCTTATTGTTTTTTTCTCAAAAATATCCCAGCTGAAAAAATGGAAACCTCTTTGCTGCCCACTTCCCTTCAAAACTGTTTTAATGTTAATCTGGAAACCAACAGGGGTAAAGGGTGACACATTCACAGCAATTGTCAAATTAAATATATATTGTGAAAAATCTCTTGGTTTTGTAACACTGACACATCAAATTTAATAGAACCAATTTAGAACTTGTTATTTATCAAGCAACAGCAAAGACCTAGGAGGATAAAAAAGGAACTATCACAAGCTAACTTCAAAGGCTAAGATGTATTTCTTGCAAGCCATTTGGTACATTTTAAGAGACCAAAAATAAGTAATTCTCCAATCAATCATTCCTTCACAGTGCCACTGAAATCAAAGTGACCAGTAGAAGCACATATGAGCACAAATAGAAAGAAGATTAACTCCTAAAGAATGAATTGCAGTACTCAGAACATTTTGGAGAAGCAACTATAAAATTTAAAAGAGTGATTCATATAAAGCAAAAAGTCACCATAATTGAAATATACAGTTTACAAACTCAGGAAGTGAGAACAGTCCTTCCTTAGAGCACAAAATGTAAATCCAGAGAGGCCCAAGAAGAAAAGCACAGCTACATTATTTCTCTGCTAAAAGGAAGATTAACCTCTGTTTACAGGTTCAAGTAGAGCTTCTGAAAAAAGTGTGTAGTGAGGGTTACTAAATACATAGAAGCCATATCTGCTCAAGCAGCTCTCCAGCTGAAACTCCCAGTTGTGGGCATACTTGCTGCAAAGTCCATATTAAAGCCCCTCATGCATACGTAGGATTTCTCATGACAAATTGCATATACTCCCATTCCAGTTGAAATTAAAAACAATTTCCATCTTCTGACTTAGGGAAAAATCCCAAAGGTTACTTTCAGCACTCATTTCACAGCAGGCTATGAACAAATACTATATATTCACAACTATGTTAGTGATGGTAGAGGAGGACTCTGCTGTTTCATACATAAATGGAAAGCTATGTGTGGCCAGAGTACTTTTTTCAGCATTTAGTTTAAATAACACATTTAAATTTTACTGAAACTTGCACTTTGGGGGTGAAGCAGTGTGGACACGAAACACAATATTGGAAAGGGGACATGATCTTCAGTGCTGTGAAATGTTGTCACTTTGGCTCGCTAGGAGGCAGAGGTGACCAAGGCTTTTCTGAAGGATAAAAAGGTGCAACCTAAATGTGGAGAAGAGATTGAGGAAAAAGCAGAAAATAATGCGCTGGCTACTAAGGATGAGTGTAAGCGTCTCTGTGCCAGGGAGATAAAAGCAGAAAAGTTAAAAGAGAACATGAGTTTTAATTAGCAAAGCACACGATAAGCCATATTAAAAGGTTTCAAAGATGTGCGATAGGGCAAGCAAAAGAGAAACCCCAGTAAAAGGCAGACATTACAAGATGAGAAAGGGGTTCAAATAACAGCTAGTACAGATAAGTACCGAAGATCATTAAATGCCTTCCTTGTTTGAGTCTGCAGAAGGAGGAGATGGTGGGCAGACAGAGGTCTTTCACAGAGGCATGAGGTCTCCGTGCCGAGGCTCTGAGCCGGGCAGGCAGCAGCTGTCTCTGCCCTGCCAGCCCTGACCCCTCTGGGATGCGTTTAATGGGACTTGGAGAAGCGCAGCTCATGGCTCAGCACTGCAGCGTGGCCAGGACTGGCCCCCAGCCAGCTGCCTCCCAGAGGGAACAGAGCTCAATTCTGCCTGCAATCAGCTCTGCCAACATGCCCAAAATTAATTTGGACATGGAGATAAGGCTACAGGGCAAAGCATAGGGCAAAAAAAATTTCAGAGAGGGAAATGTTTTTATGAGGTCAGACAGTTCAGGTTAGAAGGCTGATGAAATTCAGCACAGAAAGCTTAAGGATTTTTTTGTGTTTTCACACTGGTAAACTGTGTTTATTTCTGAAAAAGCAGAAAAATGCCTCACCAAGCTAAAGAATGACTCCTGGCTCCCCAGGACTGTGATTTATATGCACGTGTAAATATTTTGATGAAATACTTCCTCTGGTATTTTTCTTTCTCCTCTATCTCCAGGACTTTGTAACAATGACTATATAACTGGAGTGAGTTATCAAAAGTACTGAATTATCTGCATGATGTTTGAAGGGGTGCAATTACCTGAAGGGTAGTTTATACATGGAAAAAATATTCATTCAAGTAACCTTTGAAACGTGGACTGCTATTTTTAAAAATATTGCATAAAGCAGAGGAGCTTCAGAAGATTACAGCAAAGGGAAGATATGTATTTCCAGAAAAGGTATAAAGCTAAAATTTTCTCTTTTATAATGCTTCTATGTCTACTCTTTAGATTGAACAGGTGTAATACTCTATATGTTTCCAATCTTTGAAAGCTAAGGATTGCTAATATTTGGATTTTTCAAAAGCATATTAGGTCACTGACAGTGCAAAATCCCTACTAGCAGAGAAATAAACATTAGATGCTATGTATTTTGACCAAGGCAAAGTCCTACATTACTTTGTTACCAGCTAGTAAAGATTTATGGTATCACCCTAAGATATGTGCTCAAATACAGCTACAGCTGCTGATAAAGTTGTATTCAAAGAGTAGACATCTAACATACATTTTCAAAGCAGGAAATAGCATTGATGTGCGCAGAGATTAGGAAAACTCTCCTAAAAAAAAGGCAAAAAATAGGATGAGGTATAGATAAAGATTTGAACAGAAAGAAAGTCCAAAACATCAAGGAAAAAAGATCTTTGAAAATTCTGGACACTTAAAATAAAGCCTGATGTAAAAATCAGTTTCTCCTTAATGGACTTTTGCAATGCTGTGATTGTATGGACAAAAAGCACCAACAATAAACATGCATGTAGTTAAAATGACTGATATTTTTCCAAAGGAATATTCCACATTTTCTTGTCTAATTGCTTGCCTTTAACAGTCATAAAATTCTGGTCATAATCTGAAATATACCTTGTTCCTCATAGACATCAAACAGTTTAATCACATAACACGTGACCATGATGCAAGTGCTGAGTTTACATTTCCACTTCTGTTCCAAAAGTCTCCGCACAATTTCACGCTCCAGATATTTAACAATCTCTGAGAAGAACTTGCTAGGGAGGTTATCCATGAAGACTTTGGGAAAAAGATTTGCTTTGTTCAACACAGAAGGATTAGGAAATAAAAAGAGTCAGATAAGAAGATCCCTGGTCTAATGGAATGAGGTCAGGAATGAGAATAGGAGGCATGTGCAAAGGAAAAAACCTGCCTGTTCTCATCTGTTCTATTAAAAATATCCCACAGCAATGCAGGGAGGCTCTGCTCACATAAATTACCTTCTAAATTGCTGGACTATGCAAACAAAGCTTGGTTCAACTATTTGTTACAAATCACATATCCAAATACACTGTAAAATAATTACAGCATCCCTTGCAATGTCAAATATTCCCATACAATTAATGTTACACAATCTGTGTGCCTGGTTTTACGATCTAGAAGCTCCTAAGTGAAGATTTCACCCAGGAGAGCTATGGATGTGGTATGACATGTACATTTATTAGCATGTACATTACATAACTCCACTATTTTCAAAGAGAAGATAATGAATTACTGATGTGGTTTGGTTATCTTTCATGAGTGTAGAAAACTTGAAGGAATTATCATCCTTAAGAATTTTACTTTTCCTCAGAAGGAAATATGAAGCAGTTCATCATGAAGAAGTATTAAAGAAGGAACATTTGTCATTTTGCCATGACATCCCACTTGCAGCTGAAGGAAGGTGGGCGGTAGAGCGGCTATGGGAAAGTCAAGAACTGTTTATCAGCCCAGGCAGAAATAATGCTGCCAGTTTTTATCAGTATGCTTTTGAGGCACTTTGCTTGATTGTAGGTGTAACTTGAACCAGCAGCCAGAACAAGCCAGGAGCAAGTGAAACAAGGCTTACCTAGCACTGCAGATACGACTGCAGATACATTTAAGCTGAGCAAAACATTTTAAGGACCTTCATGCCCTTTAACCAGAAAACTAGTTTTGCACACACAAACACATACTGGTTCTCTTGAGTTATACACTAATATCATTAAGTAAACCTAACCACATAAATCCATAATCCTTCTGTAATGAAGTCATATGAAACAAAATCCTGTAATATAGCACATATTCCACAATAAACAAACTGGCAGCAGTGGCTGCTATGCATTGTAAGGAATACAGTGATAAAGTAAATAGATCTGCTTTGCCTGTACCTCAAAATTAATCAATAACAATATCTGAGCTAATGAAACAGCCACTTGTAAAAATCAGTGTTACCCATCAGCTTTTGTAAAAGATTATTAATTTCTATGCATTAAACTCTATAACCAAGGAAGGAAATCACTAGGCATCTTTCAGCTTCCCCTTGTTGATAGTAATAAGAAAAGAGTTGTCTCTGAAGCTGCTCCGTTCCACTCCACAAAATTTTTTAAAATCCAATTACTTGGATGGGGGGGAGTACTCAAACCACTTATAAACCTTTGCATATTGCTGCTATTCTTCTCTCAGGCACCAGGGAGTCTTTATAAACAGCAGAAATGAAGCCTCTGCTGAAAAGTGGCTGTGCACAACCTCAAATGCTTTGCATGATGGATGGCGGATTTCACTGGCATTCTGTTTTACATTCATTTCACTTCACAAGCATGACTTCTTGGTAAAGTAAAAGGGTAAGATCGCTAGTCTAGCACTGTCATGCCCATACAGGAAGCAAGTAGTGCTCCATGGTTAGCTCAATATAATTTAAAAAAAGGCTGAGGAATTTGGAAACAAGATTTTGGCTCTGTGGCTCCTCTTTTCTAACCAAAAAGAGGGTGAGCACGGAAAGCAGTGTGGGGCAAAGTGTGTCTGAGTAAGGAGTTAAAAAAATCAAAAGTGGCACTGATGGGGCAGTCAGAAAGACACATGGATTCGAAATCTTTTTCCCTCAGAAACCTTAACAGAACCTGTGTATACCAAGCCTGATCTGAAAAGACAATTACTTAGCTATCACACCTGCAATTGCCAAAAAAATCTGCCAAATTCTGCATAATATAATTAGTTTCTTTTTCATTTCTAAAATCTGGCTTCAAATAAAATCCTTCCCTCAAGGCACAGTAGATTATCCAGGAAGGCTCTGGAGAGTGGCTGAAGAGCTGTGATGTTCAGCCACAGACTCAGAATTCAGAATGGCCAGGGGCTGGTCCAGAACAAGCCTAGAAGGAGCCAGCTCAGTGAGGCTGGCTCATAGAGATGTGTAAAGCAATGTCATTCCACCTGAGACATGAGGTGCCCACAACACTTCGCACTCTAAACTATTTTGCAACAAAGATATTTCAACATCCTTACAGTGATTATTATATAATTTTATCCCCAATTTTTGGCATGGGAAAACAAGGCCAGATCAATTAAATGCATTTGTCAAGAAAGTGTTCCCAATGGCAGAACAGGAGAAGATACTAAAGTCCTTCGTCTTTCCAAGGTCCATTAACTTTGCTGCTACCTTCATCTTGCTTTCACAAGAAACTGTTCCTGTTTTCATACTTTTCCTCAGATATTTGTGCCTTTCATCTTAAAAGGTACAAAACAATACCAAAACCTTACCCTCATCTCAAAAAATTAATTAATGTAAATCATGAAGTAATCTCATTTAGAAATGGGAGTGTGACTGTCACTAGTCTCGGGTATCCTAGGAATTTTTTTACAGCCAAAAGATACTGGGAAATGGGTTTTTTTCACAATTAACATCAGGAGACACTATGCATTCAGGGCTTGTAGAGGAAATTAGCATATTTTTCTGTGGGATGATATTACAGAAGCTTACCAGCTGAGAGGGCAAGTCAGGCATTCCTCACCAACATGGACATATTATCATTTGTGTGGACATAAATGAAATATCTCTGTGAGTAATCCCTGGCTCAGGGAAGCTATGTTTTCCAAGATGCAGCTTGCTTTTCTTATTTGGGCCCCTCAAATTTATTTGGTCTCGGGTAGAGGAAGATGGTGAGCTCCTTTTTTGGTCACGGGTTTAAATTACCAGGAAAAGGCAATGCCTGTTTCTGCTTTTTCTTATTGAGTCTAATAAAAAGATTCCTCTCTTAATAAGGCAATTAATATTTATATTCATCTCCTTTGAATTAAATTGATATCACAGAAACAAACCTAATTAACACCTGAGTAGGTCACTGAATGATCCATGTTTTTTTTTAATTTCATATTTTTTAAAAAAGCAGATGTAACTATACTCTTGCCTCCTGATGGCAAGAGTAATAACTGGAAAAGAATAATTTTTGCCCATAAAAGGACATTTGTCCAAATGAAGCTCCACTGCTTTTAGCTATTTCTATACAACAGAAGGTGGTTTAAAACAAGCTAGAGATAATTTTACTGTCAGGAGGGAATGTGTCACCCTTTTGAGAACAAAACATCAAGCACATGGAGAACATTACTATAGCTAGTCTGTTTTTTTGCAGGTTAGGTCTTTGTATTGCAAAGATTTCTCTGCAGGTGTGGCTTCCGAACTTTTCAGTGCCGGCAGGTGCATGGTTTTCTCTTTTTATCAAAATATCTGGAAATTTGTGAATCCTGTCCAGTACCAAGAGGATACTATATGCAGAGAACCTGAACATCTATTCTAGTGCAAAATTCACACATTTGCAGTCAAACTTTCCTCCTCGTTGAATATGTTCTCTTCATCTTCTAATTTAGCAGTTCAGTAACAGATTTTATACCAGCCTTATTTTGGTGGGGAACGTGGAGATGTAAGCACACAAATTTTGCTGTTATAACTCCAGTTAACAATATGTCACCACCATGAATTTTTTCTCATCCTATACATTAACAGCTAAAGTTGCATTGTCACAACAACAAAGTCATGTTGTTGGCACAGGAATGGCAATGCAAAAGGTACCACAGAAAAGCAAACAAGCCAAACACAGCAGATACAGGCTGAGCAACACTTGATTAAAGCGTCTTATTTCATATGCATTTGTCAAATAGGTGCCAAATTCTTAACTTATGTAAATACACTGAGAAGATTATAAAATCTAGCCCTCACTGAAGTTTTGTGTCCAAACTTAGGCTGTGGACCTCTGTGAGGAAAGCTCAAAGCAGGGTAGCTGCAGGGCTCTCAGTGGTCCATGCTGCAGATAATTCTAGTCCATACTTCCCTTCAGTCAGACTGCCATGCCAGCAGAGGCGCTCATTTCTCGTGCTGGAGATGGAGGCAGCTGTGCAGAATTCAATGACAAGCACTCCTCTAGGTAAGTACACTCTCCACAAAATTAAGTTGTTGTATATTTTGTCCTTCTAGACACTACTTATTTAGACACCAAGCCAAGAACTGGAGCCTCAACCACTCCATGATTCCTTTCCACTTGCCTTATAAGCACTTCAGCAAGCCCCTTCAACCATGTGCTATCTTTCTTCTTTATACTGAGCATTGAGGAGATTGAAGCCTCATGAGCTTAAAAAACCCCTTTTCCTTCAAATAGTCTCTCCAGAATCAAAGGTAACTGTGGATCTAGGGGAGGAGGCTTGGAATGCTTACTCTTAGTATTAACCATGTACAAATCTAACTTTCTGCTCTGTTGAAGAACGACTTTTTTGCAGTCTGACTCACAAGATCTAAATATGAAAATAGGATAATATTGTTTGCATGTATGCAATAACGCTCTTCATTGCCAGACTGTGCCGTGCATATTTAACTATATTCATGCTAAGATTTTGATTTATACAAATATTACAAGTCTTTCTTTTCCCTTATGTAGGTCTACGAGAATTGAGCCAAAATATTGGTGAAAATATTGTAGAGAGATTAATATAATACAATGCCTGAAACTATGACTGGTGTCCAATCACCAGTTTTCTTCTGCATTTGAAAGATCACAGTTTCAGTACTATTTTGTTCTTGATGGCTTCTTTTTTAAAGAATCTTTAAGACAAAGTTTAGACGTATATATATTGAAGACAATAGATTTTGTTCTACCAGATGTTATTTTGAATATTTAATACAGTTAGAAGTAACAGAGAAGAATTGACAAACTTAATTTCATAGTGAGAGTCATCATGTCATTTCAAAGCAATAAATATCTAAACAAGAGCTAGGAGCTGCTCTTGGTGATACTGACCAGGAATACCACGGAATAGAAAGAGCAATACAGAACACAGCCGCTATTGTCAAAAGTGGCACATGACAAAGAAAGTGAATCCTTTCAATTGAATCCACAATCTGGTACTTTGCAGTCATATTTGTTTGAAGTTATTGGCAATATTGTTCTGCAAAATTCTAGCCCACTAGTCATTATTAGAAAAACAACAATTCTGCTCTCAGGGCCTTAGTTTGAAACCTGATATAATGAAATACACCTATGTGGGTTTCTGAATAATATATGTGCAAGTGTAGTTATAGACATATATACATATTTACGCTTCCAGCTTGTTCTGAACCATCTGCCCATTGGTTGTATGCAATGGGACTGACAGATCAATATAAAAATGTCTCTGCACTTGCTAGAAGAATACACACTAATCCAATACTACTGAGTTACCAGTAAGGAAATTCTCACAAAATAAAAAAATAACTATTAATTTCATTATTTATCAGATTTCTGGTTTAGACCTGATATTTAAAATATCTCCCCCTTTCAAAATTCAGACCATATTAGGAATAAGAGGCAATAACATAATATAGTTTACTACATTTCAAAAATAGTACATTAATTTATTTCATGACAGACAGTTCCACACTCAGCATTTTCACACTTTTTTCCAAATATCAAAATAGACATTATAATCTCAACACTTTGCTGAAAATTTATAAATAAAATACTTCTACAATTTGTTACTTTTAGGTGAATTTCTACTCTTTACCAGGTAATGTAAGAAACAAAGTATGATTAAATTTGCTATGAACTTTTCTGTAAGGCCTTTCAGGCTCCATTTGTGAAAGTCAAGAACATACTGAAAATACTTACCTGGAATCGATAAAAGGTGCCATCATCCTTCAGAGTTAGAACATGGTCTGAGATTGGGAAGAAATAGCCATGTGCTGCCATCAGAGTTCCCAAATGCAGAGCTTCAACTGTTTCAAGAAAAAAAAAAAGAAAGATATACTAAAGAGCTAAATAACATCTTTTCAGCAATTTAGTTTTGTTATTAATATTCACCTGATACCCTGCAGATAACCACTTTGTTCTCAAAGTCCTACCATCTTGAAAGAGCTGTCTTTTTCTGTGTAACATAATGATGCAACCAAAAACACACAGCACTTTCCTTAACAAGTAGCTTTCACATGTTCCACTTGTAGCTGCGGTTCCACTACTTATATTGACATTAAAAGGTAGCCTTAATGTTCACTCACTTGTTCTGAAGCTGAAAACAGCTATCACCTTTACCTTGATGGTACAGCCTGCTTTTCTTCTTCAGAACAGTTTCTGATTACATGTTAAAATAGTTGATTCTAATTACATGATATCTTTCTCAGTAGCTTTATCAGAGCTACTGTAAAGGATAGAGATGTCCTCAAAAGTTTATTACTGGAAAAATAGCAAAGGATAATAACAGGTTCCTAGAACAGTTGAGGTAGGAAGGTATTTGTGAAGGTCATCTTGTCCAACTCCTTCAATCAAGCAGAGAAACCTTAAACTACTAGCTGAGAACTTTGTCTGAGTGTTTTTTGAATAACTCAAAGGAGTGAGACACCACAACCCCTCTGGATAATGCTCAAATTTATATTCATCCTCTAAGAAATGCTCACTTGTTCCTATTGCCTATAACTTGGCTGTCAGTAATGGTCAGCACAGTCTTGTATTAAAAGCACCACTGCAGCACCTGACCTGCAGTCAAGCATCATCACACAGAAATTCAAGTCCTGACATCTGTGTTCTTGCTGACAAACACAGAAAGAGACATTCACTTATGTTTCACCCATTCTTATTTTCAATATGAGAAGGCTTATTTATTTACCCATACTTCATTAGCATCCAAAAAATTCCCTCCTTCACCCTTTGCTCACCTGAAGACATTGACTCACATAGGAGATACAGGAGGAGCAGTGGGACAAGGTTAGGCTAACCCAAAGCCAGCAAACACATGAAAGGAACCAGAAAGGGGATCTGGACAGTATTAACTGAGAGCACATAACCCTACAGGGCTTATTTGATACCAAACATTTATTGTCATCCCCATCTTTAGCAAACTGATTCTTGTCCCTCCAGACAGAACCATCACCTAAAATACAACACACCTTCTCTGGCTATGAGCTCTCCAGCCTGATGTAAAACTCCACTATGCTATTTAGACTTTTCCCAGTTGCAAGCCTAGAAGAAATCTCTCTAACAGAAGGAAGGGAGCTGCTTTATTCCTTGTGCCTGCAATGTCTGTAAATTCCCATCTGAACTTTGTCCTTAATATAAAAAGTTCATATATTGTTGTTATTCATTCATTTCAAGCTGCTAAATGCTATTATCCTTGAATCAGAAATTTGAATCAATGCTTTCTGTATCATGACAGCCAGTGAGATTTTTTTTCACTGTTTCAGTTCATCTGCCTTTCAATTTATTAAGCTTTTCTTTGTTCTTCCCATTGCAACTTATTGCCAACTCAAATTTTTTTTTTATTTTTGCATGTATTATGTATCTTGGTGGAATGAGAGAAAAACAAAGAAGAAATGTGCTGACTTTTCTAGAGAAAAGCTTTCTCAGACAAGGGTGACAGGGCTTGCCAGGGAGCTCTGACACAGATGAGTGCATTCTCTTTTGATTAAGCCTACACTAAATAGGCTCCAGATTTTTTTCATGTGCTTCCTGAATTCTGAATCATAATATTTTTCAAGATCACGAGAAACTCATATTATTTCCTTTTACACAGCAATTTTTTGAGCATATCTGGACTACTATGTCCAGTTATGATTAACATGTCCATTGCAGTACAAAAAAGACAGCAACAAACTTTGAGTGAGTCAAGTGGGAGTACACCAATATCACTAGGGCTGAAGAATGCACCCTATAAGGAGAGGCTGAAGGAGCTGGGCTTGGTCAGACTGAAAAAAAGGAAGGTGTAAAAATTTTGGAGGTGGCTAGAAGAACTTTTCCAATACCTGAAAGGAGATTTCAAAATGTGAGAGGCAAGATCTTCATGGATTTGCAGGGCAATAAAGTAAACAAAAGAAGAAAAAAAAAATAAAAGAGAAAATGGTAATAAACCAAATCAGGTATGGTTCTGACTTTCAGTCAAGCAGCATGAGTGGCTGCCCCGACAGACTGTGTAATCTGTATCCTTGGAGGGTTTCAAGACCTGAACAGATAAAGCTCAGGGCAACATGTTTCACTTCACAGTTTTCACTGAGTTGAGCAAGGAGTTGGACTAGAGTCCTCCTGAGGTCCCTCTCAGCTTGAATTACATTGCAGCTCTGTGACTCTAGATGGGTCAAGCAGAAGTGGAATACAGAGGATAAAAAAGGGATGAAGACAATTGGAGAAGAAACTATTTGAAAGCTCCTGCCAGAACAGCCTATACTCCAGGCAAGGCTGGATGCAGTAGCAGCAAGGGCTGGTATTTCTCTCACTGACTGAGTCAGCACATATCAGCAAGCAGAGTCACAATAGGTCTCCATGAAAAAATAGAAAGAGTTACCTGCCTTTCTTTGGAAGTCAATTACAGTTATTTAAGGTCTGAATTAGTCCCAACAGCAGCCTATATTTCTTCTCCAGTTATGTATGGGGAGTAAGGTGATTATACTCTTACCTCAGGCAATCTCATTCAGCTGGAATCCACACTAACTCAATGTTAAGGTATATCTTTGTCCTTTCACCTACTAAGCCTTAATAAGGACAAACAAACTTCTCCTTTTTTTTTCTTTAACTAATACATAATTAGTTTTCATTTTTATGGTTGCCAATCCATCGGTTTCTTTCAGAATTACGTGAATATAAATGCATAAATATTCCCTTTTAGTATCCACCTAACATCCACTACAGCTCACACTTTGAGTGTTACAAAATTATACCCAGTGAGTAATATCCACAAGTTTCCTGTCTCACACCAGGCTGGTAGAGGACTAATACTGATACTCTCTGTGCAGCAGCAGTGGAACTACAGCACAGAAAGAAAACTCAGCTCTCAGGAGGTTTCTATTCTCTAAGCAAGAGGTTGTCCAGTGTATTACAGAGGCAACACTTTAATACCCATCTCAATTTGCTAAAATCAGACTGAGAAAATAACTACTGTAAGAAGCCAATGAAGTACAACAGTAGCATTCAGGAAGTAAACCCATGAGCTTGAAAAGGAAAATGAAGCCAGCAGCAGACCAATCTGACATGCCTAAATGCCTAGAATTCAAATGCAGACAGATTCTATATCTTCCTTCCTGTGTATGAAGTTAGAGGATTTTCATTTAAGAAGCACATTTCATCTGGAAAAATGGCAAATGTAGGTTGGGAACATCAAAAACATCTGTGAAGTGCATTAGATAAGAAGAAACAAGAAGTCTGAAAGAAATGTTTTTAGACATACTGGTTGTCAGGTAGAAAGAGTATGTTTATGTGTATTCAGAATACAAACTCAAAAAATTGGAGGAACAGAATAAGAAAAATACAGGTTTTTCAGATGGCAAGTGAACACAGATGCACACAGAAATGTGATATCTAGGCAACTATTATTTTGCAGTCCTCAGTCACTCTGTATAAAAACCACAGAACATAAGCAAAATCCTCAGTCACACCCAGATAGCCTCACTGAGGAGCCATAATTCAAATGGCAGTCAGCTGCTATACAAGGGGTACAAACTGCAGCCAAAGATGTCTTGTCAAAAATCTGAGGAAGACCAAGCTCCTGAAGGTGTAACTGGTAAAATGGAATAGACTTTGGCTTCCTCAACTCAACACCCTCTTTTGAAGATATCAACTATCTGATTTAAGGTTCCAGATCCTTCCTAGTAATTAAACTAAGGAAAAGTGGAGCAGCACATTTAAAACACAAATTTACCCTTATCACTGCTTTAATTTTTGTAGGTATAAATAGGAAAGTGTTGGGAGCAACAATAGCTAATGGAAGAAGAATTCCTCAGGTGAAAGACAGAAATGCATCTTTATGAGCCCATTTCAATTCAACAGGACACAAAATACTTTATATGAAATCAAAATACTGCTTTGAGTGTAGGTTTGATTCTTAATGTGCATTTTATTGCTGGGCTAAAAGCTCGGAAAAAGCTAAAAATTACACGGTTCACTCTGCTGTTGAACTTTATTTAGTTGAGTGGGTGAAGTGAGCAACACATACACATAGATTGATTAGAAATCATTTCTGTGAGACATAATATTGCCCAGCCATCTGCTGTGCCATTACAAGACAGTGATCTTGACAGATTAAATGTCAGTCACTTTTAATATACTTTGTTATACAAGAGTCAGATATTTTCAATGCTTTGGGACAATGTAATCTGACAAAATCTAAGGAATGAAAAACATACCCCAGTGGTTGAGTTTTGACTTTATTTTCTTTTTAAACATAGCACAGTTTTCTCCTTACTGTGATAATCATCACGTGGATTGCTGACAGTTTGTTCATCTTAAATTGCAGGGTACGGTATTGGTAGAACAAGTTGTTTCTTCCGATGTCCACAGGAGAGAATTAAAAAGGAAGAACATTCTTTGTTTTTCTTTGGAATAAAGATGTTTCTGTGCCTTGAAACCCCTTAAAGGATAGGTTTTCTGTGATTAGTGTGAATTCTGATTTTTCTTACACATCTCAGGTCTATCTGTGATGTGATATCTATATTTATTTTTACTCCAAAGTCCATAAAATACTTTATGCTATCATAACAGTATAGTCTTACAATATCTGAGCCACCTTTTAGTAATCTCTGAGGGAGCGAGGAAAGAAAAATAGAGTATTTTCCAATCGTGCTCCACTTTTGAAAGTCCTTTTTTGGAGTCTGTCTTATGTTCTGTGTGGAAAGATTTCCTACACGGAACGTGACTTGGGGCATTTTGCTTGCTTAAAATTGCTTTATGATGTAAAAAAACAGTGAAAACCCCAAACTGCCCAGTTCTCATATATTTTTGGGTCCAAAAATATCAAACA